CCAACTCATAGTTTCACGGTATCAAATGGGGCTCTGTAGGAAAGTTGAAAACTGATTGACCAAGTCTGCATCCATAGAATTCATACAGATTCTAAGACTCTATTGACTATGTAATTGTCAGGCTACTCTGTAAAGTTCACTAATAATATTCCAACAGTGTTTCATCATGAAGCAACTAACTATGTATTTGGTACCTAGAAATAATCAGGAAGGCATCCCTAACATTAAAAATGAGAGTCTTCACAGAAAGTAGCTCCTGAATATTGCAACAATCCTCTTATTAAAACTGACACCCAGTTGGGGATGGCAGTGTTTACACAGTTTATTATGCAAATGATGTTTTGAGTTCACAAAGATGAAAAGCTCAGAGTTAGGCAATGCTTCAAACAAGAAAAAACATAAAAATATATTTTTGCTAAAGTGGATAATGTACTTTTATAGTACACAAGTACTATATCTGTTACACTGGTGCTTAATAGACTGGTATCACTGAGGAAACACTGATTGTGAGGGTCTGAAACATTTTCCACTGATAAAAACGCGTATACTATTCCTTAACTATTCAGAATTTTGTACCATGTCTTTAAGTGAATATGAATTTCATTTAAGTACATTGCTAAGATTTTACTCTGGGAAAAGTTTTAAATTTAGACAAATGACATTTATTTTCATTTTCTTTTAAAAAATTTCCAGACCTTAAATATTTTTCCTCACATGTTCCCAGGAAGTACACATTTATATCCACACACATACACATTTTTCATTTACATAGAGACAAAGTAGTAAGATTTATGTCAAAGCATCCATAAGACACACCATTTTATTTATTAGAAAAATATGATTCCTCTATCATTCACTCAGTTGTCTAAATTTCTGTTGATCCCAAGACTTGTTAAATTTATAAACATCTCAAAAATGGGGAGCACTCTCTCTACCTTTCCCTACTTCTTGAAGTTCAATTGGGATTAGAAGTAATTCTGTAAAGACTAAGAAAATCATACTAAAAATGGATTATTCCATTTTCTTCTAGAAAGACAGGTCCATTGATAGGAACATGTGCTTACAGGCAAAAGTCTGATGTGAGAGCAAAGCGTGATTTATTTTTCTACAAACTAACCTGTGTGTTCCACTCATCAATACATGTCCTTACATGTGGAAGCCTTTCCACATGGTGGATCACTCTGCTCCGGGGGCTCTTTGGAAGTGAACCTTTCAAGTTTGTGCCCTATAGATCCCTCAAGTGTCTGGGAACTTATCCTTTGCTTTTGCCAGAGGTTTGAAAATGAAATGCTTTGGGGCTGCAGAACATTGCTTTGCAATTCATTATGGGACAAAGAAATGTCTGGGGTTAGGCAGGCAAGCAACTAATGATCCTTCATTTTGTCCAGAAAACATCAAGATCGATATGTAGTACATGCAACATTTATGGAACACTGTGTTTTCTTTTCTCTCTAGGGGAAGGAAAAAATACTAGATGATCACTTCCTGCAGATGGCTATATGATTGACGCCGGTGTCTCCTTCCTACCTGCTAGTAGCAACACAGCCGCCTGATCGTTGTTAATTTCCTGTACCATAAAAACAAGAATTTAAATGACTTGATTATTTGGCATGTATATTAGCTTCATTGATCCAAGTAACCAAAATCTGGAGACAACGTTATTATCCAAAGTGAACAGAACTAGTTCTGAAGGTCCATGATGTATTCAATAAAAATTGGTCTTTTATGAACAATAAGGAAGAGCCCAGAGAGGAAAAAGCATGAACCAAAAGAAGATATCTACAAAGTCTCCTTCCAGCTCACGTAATCTGTCAGCAGGAATCAAAGTTAAATACCATCATAAGTCATACTTAATGAATAAGCTATTGCTAGATTGACAAATCAAAATGGAAGCAGCAACATAAATGTGGTCAATGTTATATGTCCTCGCAAATATCCTTAATATTTTGGAATTTGAAATTCAGAGCAATGCCAAAGTTTTGGGTTGAACTGGATTTTATTTTAATCTTTTACAGAAATGACACAGTAGAGGACTTGGAAAACAGATGATCATCTCAGGAAAATAATTAACTTTGTATCCCCTTTAAGAGAAATCATTGTCAAGGATAACAGAAACCAAAATGGCACTGTATTTGCCCAGTGATGTGTGCACATTTCCCCAAGTCATTCCTAAATGAAGAAGTAAAGAATACAAATTTGGTACCAATTATTTTCTACTGGCTTAGAGTAAGATAAAAGTAGGGGCTTAGAATAAGAAGATGATTGACTCAACATGCAGTCCTTTCTACAGCTTTCTTAGGGCCTGAGAATCTCAGGTCATTGGATCACTGTGGGGCCTTCAATCACAGGTCCTTAAAGCATTACATTGAAATCATCAGTGTAGGTTCCATAAAACCACAAACTTCTAAATTCAAAGATGCCAAATCCTGATAATGTAAAACACTTGGATTTTTATAATTTTTTGAATTCTATTTTAATTGCAGGTGGGCTAGATCAATTATAGCTGGTTTTATTTAGTGCACCCACAAACAAAGACAGTCTCTCTAAGGCTATGTTAGGATTTAAAAAGTTAGGAAATTGGTCATTTCTCTTGAACATATCAAAGAAATCACTTCCAATTTGATACTGGGTTTCATCGTGACATCACACTTGCAGTCCTCAAGATGGAATAGAAAATTGGATGAAGATATGAATTCTTGAAAATAATAATCATTTACAACAAATAAGCAGTGAGGACCAATAAAGGCAAATAGCATATGTTCACATTTGATTATACCCAGTGTGACTTAATAAATGACCCAATGAGGGCATTTTAGTACTGGATCTACCAAAATACCCACGTTTTGCATTATGTCTTATTTTATTCCATATCAAACTTAAATATCAAGGATGAAATATCTTCTGTTAGTGTTTGAAGTTTTTATTAAACTTTGACTTCCAATGCATAAATAAGCAAATTCAAGTACTAATGATGATCAGTATCATATATTTAATTCCATTACACTGAGTATCAACCTCAGAAGCATGAACTTATATCTTTAAGAGTTTTATAACTGAGCATAATTATTTTGCTTCTTGTGTTCCCATGAGATAAAAGTGAGTGAGAAACTCATAACCAAGTTCTTGCTATTCACAATGTTTCCATTGGGTGTAGCTATGATATTAGACAGGTTGATATCACAGACTGAGTGTTCAGGAAGGATGCCCAGACACTGGGGGATTTATAGTGACTTCTTTGTCTTTAGCATTGAATTCTGTTAGTCAGCTATGTTCTCTGGAGAAAAACAAATAATACAATTTCAAATCAATCAAGTCAAGAAGGATTTCAATGTCTTTTTCTGAAAATGAAGAAACCTAAAGAAAAACCCTGAGATATGATAAAACTTGAATCAACAATAATTTCTACATAATTTGCTAATTCTTAATTTTTTAATATAACCATCAAATTCACACTTAGTTTGACTGCCTCCTTATAGATAGGCATCTTTTGGATAAAGTGGATAAATAAGGGGAGAATCCTCTAACAATGCAACTCCTTTATTGACCGATGGGTCTGAGCAGTGTCTTAAAGTGCCTTTTATGCTAAAAGAAAAAAAAAGTATTTCTCCTAAAATGCAAGGGCAGCTTACATGCTGAGATGAAAACTGCTAACTCTTTTCTTAACAACACCATATGTCTTCAATTGGATCATAATGCAGTCGGTTCTCAAGGGAACGTTATGCATGGAAGCTAACCAAATCAAAGCATGGGCTTAGCTGTGTGTTCACTCTCTGATTAACCAGGAGATGCTACTTTGGATTTTCCAGATCATCTAAGTGAGTGTTTGAAGGCGCTTTCCCAATACCCTCCCCAAATGAACCCTGACCCCCACCCCTCTAAAAAATTATTTTTCGTTCAGATTTCCTCTTCTATGGAAACTCAATACATTTTAAGGAACTGAAATGTTAACCCCTGAACTCTCTAACCATGGGTTTTAAATAGTGAACACATTACCTAGCAAACACTGTAGAAGTCCAGCTTAAAAAAAAAATCAAAAGGAAACTATTATAGGACTGAAGAGGTCACATTTCCCACCAGGGAATCACCAAAAACAAAAGAGCAACTGATAAACCAATATACATTAGCCAGACATTTCTTTACCCACTCATAATTCTTTTTCTATGTTCAATCTCTAATATTTTTATTAATGAGTAAGATATATTTTTAAATTTACTTAAAATTAAATCCTTGCCATTTACACTACTACCAGATTAATATCAAGTTGAGGCATTGCTAGCTTAAGCCCTGACACATATGATGTATTCAATTCTTTATGCTGAATGTAATTTGTAATAGCATAAAGTTATATCATCTTTGATGTACATAAAAGCTCAAGAAATTTGCCATGGGCAATGTGAAATGCCCCGAACAGTCAAGATTGGTGCTTCTCAAACTATCTCTGATGAACGGACAGTTTAAAACAACTCAAAATGTCAGGAATTGATATATTTTTTTAAATAGGCAATTATGCATTCAGATTTCATGGTAATGTCAAATTATTACAAAAGCTTCTAAATGCTGACTCTCACTTTCTCTACCCTTCTTGTAATGAACTGGTAGGAAATGTCTGGAAGCTGGCATCAGTCTGTGTACTCCACTGTGACTACTGCTGTTGAGATATATTATAAAATAGAAATCAAGATACCCACATTAAAGACAGGAGTCCCATACTGCCTTCAGTTGAAGTGCATTTTAAATCAATCTTTGCTGTTTTTCTTCTAATTCACTATATGCAATCATCAGCAGAGATTCAAAAGAAAGGCCAAAGAAGAAACACCAAGAAGGATTTGATAGTTTTGAGAAAGATAGGGTTGCTACAATACTATCAAAAAATGCAGTTACCAAAGCAAACTTTTGCTTCCCAGTGACCAACCAAAGTACATGGGCTTTACCATGTACTCATTCCAACAACGGCAATAAGCCTAGACACAACTGCATGATTACATAATGGTATTTCTTACCTGGGATGCCTGGTGGTGTTTTCAGATATTTTCCATTAAAATGTTGAATTACCACTTCACATTTTTCAGTAGACTCCATTCTAGAAAAAAAGGAAAACAGGAGATCACATACCTTCATACAGTTGTGCACATTCACGAGAAGTAAATAAAAATGAAGAGGAAAATTGGAAAGCCATGGAAAAGATTGATTTGAGAATTCTACCAGAATTGTCACCATGACCACCATGATTGGGCGATAGAATATTACACACTCACCATTGCTGAGACTATTACTTACTGCACTGAAAGTTGCCTAGGTAGGTGAGTCTGTGCAGAGTCCTCTCTTAGAGGTAATACTGAGTCAGTATCTTATTTAATCCACAGAATAATGTCTGGCAATTGAAAGTGCTCCATAAATATCTGTTGAATGTCTGAATTAGCAGACCTGAAAGGGAGGTCTTACTGCTCTTCATAGTGAAGGCTCGGAGGCTTACACAGATGAACTACCTTGCCAATAAGGGGCAAAGCTGAGATTTTAACTAAGGCTTGTCTAACACCAAAGCTGAGCTGCAGCTACTGTGCTGAGGATTTCACAAAACAAGCTGAGGAAATGTGCTGCTTGCAGTTTAAGGCGATGATTAACACAGTAGTGTTACTATCAGCATCTTGCCGCTTTTATTGAAAATCCACTGGGTGAAGGTACAAAAGAGAATTCTTAGGCATCTGGAATGTGAGAGGAGAACATAAACACATACACTTTAAGTCCTGAACTTTCTTATTTCTGAATTTTGGAAAATCCTCTATTTTTCATACTAGATAGCAATATTCCTAAAGTTGGTTTCTGGGGGCCAAATTTTGTCATCTCACTTGCAAGTTAATGAATGAGTATTTTGAACTCTACCACTCTAATATCGATATTGGCAGTGTTGCCCTATCCTAAGTAGACTAGGATTGGCAACATTTTCTAAATAATTAACTATAGTTGGGCTTTATTATTTTATAACATTGGATGGTGAAGATAAAAATTAAAGGGCTGATTCTGATTAAAAGAAAATCCCCCAAACAGTACACTAGAGGCAAATACAAATTTAAAAAGCAGCTCACACACATATGAAAGAATGTGTATGAAATGTGTGAAATTTGTCTAAAAGGCAAAGTGTAATTTTGGATTTTCTGCTGTTATTCATATGAGTTTTCTTGGAACGGAGCCCTTTAACTCAAGTTCTAAAACTTTCCTACACCTAAATTTTATGTGTGTTTTCAGGAGCATATTACATGCAGAGGAAACAAGATAAGGAAAAAATGTAAGCAAATGCCAAATAAGTCACACATTTATTAGAGCTACAGGAATTCAGATGTGAGAGGAATTCCAAAAGCCAAGGAAACACTGAGAAGTGGGCACAGAAGGCCAGAGAACTCTTTAGGGCAGAAGGCTGACCTGGCCCTGTGTCCTTTTAGAGAGGGTGGGGTAAGCAGAACACTGTGCCTAAGTGGAAGGTTCCAGGAGCATCAGGGCATGGAACTCTCAGATATGAGCTCAGAGATGCAGACAGGGCATCTGAATTATCAGGTTAAAGGATTCTAGACAGTATCAGGAGCATGTCCCAAAGGGGGGGCTGTAATTATTTTCTGAACAAAATTTCACACCCACAAAAAAAGGTCTTTTCTGACGTACATTCCTCTGAGGCATGGGTTGGAGGCACATTTCCCTGTACTGATAGACATGGAAAATCTCCACCTACCAAGCAACACTGATTTCCCAGGTATGAGATGAGTGCACAACGACACAGCCAAAGACTCAGAACAAGCCTATACTTGTTTTAAAACTCTGCTGGTGCCATCTTGAAATTCTTAATGATTTTCTAACAAGGGGTCTCACATTTTTATCTTTACCTGGTTCCTACAAATGATGTAGCTGGTCCTGCTATGACAGGAAAGTACAGGAAACTAAAATGACTCATTACAAAGTAATGGAAACAAATAGGTTATTATTCATTTATCAAATGGCCCAATGGTTCCATATAGGTGTTATTTTGAAGAACATCTGAAGAATGAATCAATTTTATGTCCCTTTAAGCCTAATCGCATACAGTTTTAATAAATAACAATAAAAAACAAAGAAAACATTTTGTTTCCTGCTTAATCACAAGTTCTCCCAAATCTGATAATATTTGGGTTAGAGAAGCAAGATGAATCTTCTCTCCATTCCAAATATTTAGGAATAGCTGAGTACAATTTTCCTAACTCCTCAAGGTTTTCTTTCTGTGGAATCTTTTACAGTAAATCTTCCAACTTGTTGTTGTTGTTGTTGTTGTTGTTGTTATGTTGAAAGTAGGAAACTTCCATTTCTTGGAACAAAAGATTTCTAATTCTGCTCTTTCTGTCTTCCCACAGGATCTACTATCTATTGTCTCTTAGGGACAGTAACCTTCCCTCCTACCAGAGACATGAATGGGAGAGGAAATGTAAGCCCTTAATTACTACAGATGTTACTTTATGGAATTTTTATTCCAGGAGAGCTACAGAATGAAAAGCTTATACCCCAGAGCCCCCTCCCTGCTCAATCTCTCTCTGGATACTCATCTAGATAAAAGGCAGTTAAGAATCTAAGCTTGCATGCAAGAGTCCTACAAATCAAATCCTTTCTCTTTGTCTTAAAATGACACGGCATTCTAAATGAAGACTAAACTAGATTGGAGTGTGTGTTTGTGTGTGTGTGCACAGATTTGTTGATTCTATATAATGTGTATAGTAATGTATAGGAAATACAGAGGAAGCGAAAACAGAAACTCAGGTGGCTCACACACTCTACCCCCTTAAAATATCTTTGCTCTGGATTGAAAGCCTCAAGTCTTCCCTTTTGGATTCTAAGTATGATCATCTTTTCTTAAGACTATTTTACAGCCATATCTAGCCGGATGGGGGCTGTTTCTAGCAACACAAAGACAGCAGCATAGATAGTTCACTTTGGCTTCATTCAGATTTAACTAAGTGAATGTCTGCAGTGAGCCTTTAGAGACGCCTGTCTCTGAAAGAATAAACGCAATAAAAGTCTGTTTTCTGTAGCTGCCGGCGCTTAGTGTCAAACCACGTTATGCTGTACCACCCAGCAGTGACAATTTCATTTTAATACACGGGGCACATTTTAACAAGCAAAGCGGTCCCAGCAAAGGCGGAGATGGGAAAGAGAGCTACCAAGGGAAAGGCTCAGTGCTCCTCTTGCATTTTATGCGGGAACAGAACAAAAGTGAGGCTGGAGCTGGGGCGGGGAGGGTAAGACACTGCGTTTGAATAGCCACCTTAGGAAGAAGGTGTCCATTCTCTTCTCAAGTTTCACAATTAACCACTTTGAAATGTCAGTTCATGCTATCTGCAATCTGGCCCACGCTTCAGTTGAAATTGACACTAGCATTATCAAGTGAGTCTGAAAAGGCGGCACGCCAGACAAAGCCGCCTTTACACGTCCCTTTCAGACGGGCCACTGAATCACTACAACTGCATCTATTCTTCCCAGGCGGTACCTGAACCCCCTCGAGTACCTCGGGACAGCTCGCGTGCCAGGCCAACCATTCACCCGAAGATACATTAATTAGGTTCTTACAAGGCTCCAATCATTGTATAAGGCTTCAGGGTTTTCTGTTAGGTCTGATGTTTAAATATAAATACACATTAAAGGTCCCGCTTGACATTCTTTCTTGTCTCAGTGCCTAGGAACCTGGCTTCAGTCACTCAAAACAAACCACAGAATTGTGATTTAAAAAATTTTTTTTACCACTGCTACTAAGGGGAGCCACTTTCACAGCCAATACAATTCCCACAGTCAAATTACATCAGAAGAGAGCTTGATCCAAAATTAGTAGAATGTTCTGGGTCAGACTTCACACACAAAGGTGGAAAAGAACTTTGCGAAATCATCTGCAGCCTACCTATCTCACCTCAGTAGAGAGTCTCTCAGTTTATGCTCTTAAAGGAATAAGCGTTATTAACAATAAGCGTTATTTAAACAAATCCACCCCGCCATTTATTTTAGTTAATTAGAGGTTTCCACTATTGTGAAATGTCTGTGGTTTTGCAATCACGGGCTCTGCGCAAATTATTGGCAACTTAGAATATCCAACACTGCAAGCCAGTCATCCATCTAAATCCGGTTGGAGTTGCGCAAAGGGTCAACATTAACAAATTGTTTAAAAGTACTAAAATGTGCACTCTTTCTGAGAGTTTAAAAATAAATTGTCATTGACTGCCTAATCTATTGTAATGGAAAGAAGAACAGTTGAGTCCCAGGAACAAAGACAGTGAATGCATTGAATTTTCTTCTTAGTTTTTGCATTATTGCTCTAGTTTTTGTAATTTGTGCTCTACCTGCCAAGTGCTTGACATGCTTAGGATAAAAGTGTCACAGGGGCACCGGGTGGCTCAGTCAGTTAAGTGTATGACTTCAGCTCAAGTCAGGATCTCACCATTTGTGAGTTTGAGTCCCACGTTGGGTGGCTCAGTTGGTTAGGTGTCCCACTCTTGATTTCAGCTCAGGTCATGATCTCATGTCATGGGTTTGAGCCCTACAATCGGGACTGACAGCACAGAGCCTGCTTGGGATTCTCTCTCTCCCTCTCTCTCTCTGCACGCCACCCCCCCAACAAATAAATACATAAACTTCTTTAACAAAAATAAACAAAAATGACTGTTCATTAAAATCATCAGCAAACTATTTTAAAAGATATCAATGTCTGGGCCCAAGTCTAGGAGGTTCTACTCAATTGCTTTGGCATGAAGTCCATGTTTTTCAAAGCTACCCAGGTGATTCCAGTGTATAGGCAGGGTTGAAAATGACTCTTCTGGAGCTGTTTGTCACATGTCCCAAACTGGAAATCATGGGCCAAATCCAGCCTCCAGGTATGTTTTGTTTGGACAACAAAAAAGTTTTAAAGATTCTGAAATGGTTGTCAACATTTAACGATTGGGAGACTTCCCATGAAAATGTGGATTCCTCATTTCTCCTGAAAGATAAGATGGTCTGTTCCATGTTTTCTGCCTGCCAACTATGGTACAATAAAACTGAATTTAGTCTTTGGCCCTGGTTTCTGACACAAAACTCCTAAAA